CCAGGAAAGCAGGAGGCACAGGTCATGTGTGTAGTGCGAACAGTACACTAACAGTATTGCTAGCACCTACTGTTCTTGTGTCGGATTAGCAGCTTTCTGAGAAGAGCATCATGGTAATTTGTATCTATCTGTCATGGTTTGACCCAGCCGGTAACTGAATACCAGGCAGCTGCTCACTCATCCTCCCCTGTCCCTGGGGAATGGGGTAGAGAACTGAGAGGGTAAAGGGAAGAGAGATTCATTGGTTGAGATGAGAACAATTTAATAAATGAAATACAATAAAATTGAAAATATTAGTAATTATAGTAATAATAATATACAAATGAGTGATACACAATGCGAATGCTCACCACCCAATTACCAAGTCCCAGCCAGTTCCCACCTAATCCTGAAACCGCAATCCCAGATGAGTGAGAGAATAACTTCCTGCTACTCTAGCTACTAAGAAGAAGACTAACTCTATCCCAGCTGAAACCAGGACAGTATCTTGTGGTCTCTTTGTCCTGTGACTATATGGAATTTACCTGACTCCTTGCGGCAGGTTCCTACACCCTGCCTTAGTAAGAGAAGAGCCAGTCTTTCCTGGGGCTGTGGTGCTCATGGCCTTGTAAGGCCTGCACACAATCGCAAAGCAACATCACCACTGCTGCAGAAAACATTTCTTACAATAACTGATTTCTTCTGTTACTCAGTTACAGCTTGCAGGAGTTACCATTAAAAAGTTTGTTCAACAAAGTCAGGCAAAAGAAGTGGTTAAGAGAAAAAGCTTTTTAAGCCCAAAGAGGGAGAAGTGAACACAAAAGGTGTGGAAGCTTAACGTGTGTAGAAACATAGTTCACACTACAGAAACAGCTGCTGTCATTTGTGGGACAGGAGTGAACTTGCAGGTTACTTGAGCGATGGTATGTGTAGGTGTGGCTATAAAAGGAACAGGGAAGAGGAAAAGTTTAATGGCTTCGGGAGAGCTATGAATTCATTTTATTTTTGTATTTATGTATAAGCTCTGACAGCAAGAAACAGCTGAAACAACAAGACACTGCATTTTTTGGCTACTTATGAAATCAGAAGAGGTAAAACTCCCCTGACGTTCTTGTAACAGCTCTTTGGTGTTATAAGTGTACAGGGTAGAGGTGGGGAGGGATAGATGATATCTGTATATTGAGGTAAAGCACAGTGGTTTTGGTCTACTTCTTGAGGCAATTTTGGATGTTCAGAATCTGGGATCCTTCTTCCTTTGGGGTGATTTCTGAACAGCTAGAGTATGGAGTTAGCATTTAAGTCATACAGGTTTCATTGTGGGGAGGCAGAGATTTAATTCTCTTTTTTACTACAGAAAATGCCTCCTGAAGATTCAGTGGGGAAATTCTGGAAAGCTAGTATCATTGTGGCTAGTATGTGATTTTAGCAATATGTGATTATTGTGGGTTTTTTAGAACTTTACATGTTCAGTTTTCTTGTTTGCTTGTTGATAAATCTTGAAATCCTTCGCCATTTCCGGTCCTTGTAAATGTGTGTGTGTGCTTGAAATGTGCTGCTAAGTTACCTTGGAAAAAGAATTAGTCAGAAACCTTTTTGCTAAGAAGTAAATAACTTTTGCTTGACAGAGTTAGGAGAATATTACAGTATGAATGGCTGCTCTCAAAGTGGGTTGCAGAGGAAAGTTCACTGAGCAGAGGTTGACCGTGATGCCAGTATGCTACGGGAGCGATCTGATCAGGGTTCAGATCAAGTGCAAAGCTCAAAGATCATGCAGGATGTAGGACACATGGTTTGGTCAGTGACTAGTAGAAGAAAGCATGTGCCTTTTGATGTTTGTTTCATATAGTGGCCAAAGCAAATGCAGTATTGCACCTATCACTATCTGAGCTGTTCAGTGCTTGGCTTCACTTGTATGTCTTGGAAGATGCATTTTAGTGCCTTGCCTTGCTCTCAGAAACCATGTCTGAGCTCGTGCTGCCCAATTGAGCCTGTGGTGGTTCTGTATGAAATAAGTCTTCTGAAAACTAGAGCATCAGTAACTGGCATGACTATAGTGATCTGAATTTTAGTTTTACACTGTCTGTGTGAATAATTCCATATTGATATTTCATTGCAAAGCCTTATGGTGTGGTTTCTTGGTTGTGCCACTTAGGACTGTAACAAACAGGAGACGCATGTTTCTTCAGTACTTTGCAGTGTGACTCTAACTGTCAGCATACATATGATACTGTGCCTGTAAGACTGCAGACCAGCTGAAAGGAAGACTGGCCAGAGCCTGCACTCCTCAGATTTTTCTACAGAATGACAAACATTTTTCTCAATGCACTATGATAGGACAATCCAAAACTAAGATTTATGCTGAACAGGAGAATTTTTAGCTAACTGGCTATGTTTCTCTATTTCAGTACAGCATTATGGAGTACAGCTAGAAAAGGTGAGGCAGCCTGCACTGTCCAGGCTTCACTCCTTGATGCAGCCCCAAAAGGCATCGCAGAGGTACTATTGAAACCACATTACTCTCAGAGTGTCACTGCCAAGCTGCACAGGCTGTCTACTAACATGGCAGATCACTTACTAAGGGAAATCTAGCATTGATTTCAGTTTCCGAAATTCAAACGTCAAGTTGGAAGGGATGAACAAATGAGCAAATGATCCAGTAAGACACAATATATACCACTTGCCAATGCAAGGAGAAAAGAAGGCAGATACCGGCAATTGCTGGTAACATGGAACATGGACTGTTTGTTTTACTCTTGCATCATCTCTATCTTAGGTTTAATATTTTGGTGCCCGTAATAGAAAAGTGAGAAAACATAAAATAATCACACTAGCTTTACAAAATAAATAACGTGCAAAAATCCTCGGGACACAAGATTCACATCCACCACAAATACAGTCATGCACACCAGTCAAAATTATTCACTAGTGTTAAAAGAAATGGCTGGCAAGCCTGGCTAAACCTGTGCCCTGTGTAAGTTAGGAATAGTACCCATAGCTATTGTTTGGGGAGGGGAAAAGGACTGGCAGAAGCTGTTTAGACTCTTTGCAAGCTATTTAATTCATGAGGTAATTTCTCCACTGTGGTACGCTGTGTTTTAGAATAGCGTGCCTGGGTGGAGGAAGAGTGCGGTCTGTCGGTTACAGTAAGATCATTCTTTTTTCATTATGCACGAGAGCTTCCGATTCATTGTCATTTAACTAATAAGCAAGAAGATACAATGGGAGGGCCTCCTCCTCCTTTGTATTCCAACCCTAGAGTTCCATACACACACTTTTGGAAGTTTAGCTGATGCCCTTTTAATCTGGTGAAGAGTAAAGTGTGAAAAGTTCTTTATATGTGCAATATTTGCAAATGCAGGCAAGTTTCCCACCTCAGAAAGTCAAATGGTGCAGTAATCAGAAATATATTTTAGGAAGCAGAAAAATCTGGCTTGACAAGGACATCTTATATAGTTTTGGAAAAAGCACTTGACCATTTTTCTTTGGTGTCCTGTTCACAAACGATGAAGATTAATGTTCCCTCTCTCTGTAAGAACACTGAGGGTAAACACTTTATTAAAAATAAACAGAAAGTATCAATCTGTGAAGGATTACATGTCAATCAGAGAGCCTCAATGGTTATGAAATGTATAGTATTACATAATGACTTTAAGGCCTAAAATCTGGGCTAAGACTGTTCCAAACAAAAAAAATGACATGAAGGCCTACAATCCTTAGTAAGCTGTACAAAGGAATAGAATAAGTCTCTTACCTGCATTTAAACCCATTTTCTCCCCTCCTTTTATGTTGTCAGATTCATATGAATTTACTAAGAACCAAAGAAGACATGAAGGATGAGAAAATAACATCTCTTCTCATCTATTTATTTCACGTAGGTGCTACAGTTTGGGGTAAGTTTTAGCTCTATTGTTTATGAAAAATAAAGACAATTATTACTCATTTTTTAATGGCGGGGGATTAACTAATTCAGACACTGCTTGTTAATGGTAAAGAGTTGATTTGGGGTAATGTAGGACACTCCCAAAGCAAAAGATGACTGTTTGGGAGGTGGCTGCATGGATGGCCAAAGCCACCAAGCACATTGAGCACCCAAGCTGTTACCTGCCAAGGTTTCAGCCCCATGGCTTGGCTGGTGGAGTGTGTTGTATGACTGCTCAGCAGGCAGTAGTTGTCAGGTCATGCTGAAAATGGTTTGAAGTACATTCATTGAATTTGTGCTGGGTTGGCTGAGGAAAAGTCATCTGGATTGCCCTGCCAGCTGAGCTGGAGAGTGTATCAACATTTCTGAGGAGACAGCTGCAGCCAGAGACTCGCTACCAGCCTAAAAGGTTGTCTGGCCTTGGCCAAGAAGGTCTATGCAATGATGCTAAGTTAATGCAGTCAGTTTTTAAAAAGATTAATTTAAAATTATTTTTTTATACCAGAAAGGCCTAAATTAAGTGTTAACAGCAATCAGATGCTATGGCTTGTGTGAACTAATGTTGAGGAATACACACCTTAATTACCTCCAGGGGCTGTGGCAGAGCTCCCTGACATGGTCAGTGATTATGAAGCTGTTTCAAGAAGTTCTGTCCTTCTTGGCAGTTGCACCATCATGTCCTTTTTTTCTGTGATGGTACAACTGCTTGGCACTGTGTGAGGTTATTGGTAACCCAGGTCATTGCAACATGGCACTATGAACGTTTGAGCGAGTAGCAAGCTGCAGCTCAAAAGGTTTTTGAGGTTGAAGGTGGTGCTTTTGGAAATGCAATTGAAGCTCAGGTGCTAAGGTGGTTTTGTGCCAATTTGATTACGTAGGTGCTTACTCAAGATGTCTGCTTAAACCAATTATAAGTTCAGAGACCAGAGCTGTGCATTATAATATTGATCAAAATGAAGACACTTACTTGCTGTCCCAGAGACACGCTTGGTAGGAATGTGCTGCCTGCCAGAGCATTTTTTTGTCAGGGATAAGGGGGGGCAGAAATATACTTGCAGACTAAATTTAATTTAATTTACTTATTTGTACTTACGGGCTTTAGGTTTTACAGAACAGGAAACAGTAACGGGGCTGTTTTCCAAGGATTGCATCCTCCCATGTACTTTCCCACCTGGGGATGATGAAGTAATTTACTGGAAGAAAGGGGACAAAAATGTGCACAGCTACTACTACCAGAGGGATCAGCAGGATATACAAGACCCGGATTTCAGACACAGAACACACCTTTTCCATGAGAACATTCCTAAGGGAAATGCTTCCTTGAAACTTAGTAACTTGACCGTGACTGATGAGGGCTCTTACAATTGCTATGTGGGAACACAGCAACGTAAAACAGAAGTGGAAGTGATGCTGCATGTAAGAGGTCAGTAAGACATCAAAAGTGGATCACATCGGTGGAAATGGGATTACACCAACAGATTTTCTCATGTTATTTCTCACATGGAATCAAAATCCTCCAACCCAATAGAGCACCTTTTGGGCCTGATGGTGTTATCAAGCAATTAATTTTCTCTGGGGAAATGTTGTAACATGAGTTGAAAAGTTACAGTGCAGCACTTATTCTTCTAACCAACTGCACCATGATTTCTAAGGGGTGATTAGGTAATATACTTGAGTTTTAAAACAATATATGGCCTCTCAGAGCAGTACAGACCCTGGCATTGACAGTAAGTAGTGCTATGCTTTCTTCTGAAATCAAACGCAGATTAAATTTTTGTTGTGGTTTAAACCTGGTTAGCTGGAAATCACCATGCAGCTGCTCAGTCACCCTCCCCCCTCCCACGAATGGGAGAGAAAATTAAAGAGGGAAAGGGAAAAGAGACTTTGAGATAAGAATTTAATAACTAAATTACAATAAAATTGAAAAAAAGATATCATTATAATAATATACAAATATATGAATATACAGATGAGTGATACACAGTGCAGTTGCTCACCACCTGATGACCAAGGCTCAGTCTGTTCCTGGCTAAAGATCTGAAAGCAGAGAGAGTCCCAAAACTGTGATCTCAGAAAGGAGATAAGAGCCAAAGTGTCCAAGAGACCGAGAGCTGACTGAGAGAGCAAGATGACCCCAAGAGAGAAGGACATGACCCAGAGAGAGCGAGAGCTTCCAGACAGACCCTCATCTATATACTGGGCATGGCATGCATTATATGGAATATACCACTGTCCAGTTTGGGTCTCAGTCCTAAACCTAGGGTTGAATTCTAGGCTAGTAACTGGGGCTGTGCTCCCTCACAGCTTCTCCTGCACCTGCAGACACTGGCACAGCAGAGAATCTGAAAAGTCCCTGACTGTCCTGGCAACAACTATAAACATCACTGTCCTATCAGCCACCTTTTCAGCACAAATCCAAAACATAGCATCTTATTAGCTGCTATGAAGAAAGTTAACACTGTCCCAGCTGAAACCAGGACAATTTTGTTCTCAGTTACGTTTATTTTTCCTAATGTTATTTCAAAAGACCAATCGCTTCAAGTTAAAAAGGATTTTGAAAGTAGTAGGATTTTTTTTTTAATCTACAGTTTCCTCTTCTTATGCACTGGAATACAAAAAGACAGACACAGGAAGGATGCTGAAGTGCTATGCCTTCCTCACTTACCCAGCACCGCGTATATCTTGGGTACAAGGCAATACATCCATCCAAGAAACAAATCAGGAGGAAACCAGGGATGGTGTTCTCTATTCTCTTAGAAGTTACCAGAAAATCATAAACACAGCTGATCCTTACTACTGTCATATTCATCTCCCGCATGAAGACTGGGCTGCTGAATGGAAAATGCAAGGTAGGAATGAATGGAAGTCTCTTCCTGCATTGTTACTGAATGTCACAGCTGGTTTCAGAGCCAAATTAAATACAGTATTTCTGCAGCAGGGCAACACAGATATGAGATGGTGCAAAAAGATGTACCTTGCTCTTTGAAACTCATCTGTTACAATTACAGCACAGCATATGTTCAAGAAGTAGGGATGAGAGGGGCTAGCTCACATTTCTGTAAGTTAGCTTTACTCTGAACGTTTCTTCCATATCAGTTTCACATTTCACGAAGTGCCTAATAATCAAACTTTATCAAGGAAAGAATGAACTTGGACAAAATACATTGAAACTTTACTGAAGCTATGAGTTATGTGAAGGAGGTGAAAGCTTGCCTGCTGCACTAGATGCGTGTGCTCCTTACTCAGTCCATTTCCCATTTTTTAACAGACTTTTTTGATCCTTTGATTGTACTTCTCTTCAAGTGCATTCTTAAGTGCCCAGATTGAGTGCTGGGGATGCATGGGAGTGGAGCGCAACAAGCACTGTTTGCATTTGAGCAAACAGCTGCTCATTTTGTTAGTTAATGAAAAACAGGGCTACGAAATTTCAACTCTGTTTTGTCCTCCTCCTGAATTTCACTGAAAATTCAGTTCAAGTAAATAACCGGTAACTTTCAACCTCTCCTGTTTCTTAGGAAATATTTTTTAACTGGATCAAGCACAATACAAGAGCAATTCCCTTGTGAGATGTGCATGGCTGCTTCCATTGCCCTGATTTCCCCATAAAGTGTACCCAGACACTGTCAGTTCCTAATCTGCTGTGTATGCTTCAGAACAAGAGTGCAGTTTTTAATTTACATGCAACAGCATACAATATGGAAGATTTCAAGTATGGCATCATAGCAGGTAGCAAGTGCACTCTCAGTGTCTATCTTGTTAATCTATCCTTTCGTCCACAAGAGGAAAAATGTACATTTCATCACACTTTTGCTTGAATTTCCCTTCATCCATCCATTCCCTCATTGGAACATTTTGAAAATATACTGCTTTCCTTTTCTTTGTATAATAGCAGTGTGGGGTGCAGTTTTGTTTTGTTTTGTCTTCATGCTTTGCAGCCGCAAACCTCTGTTCATTCAGCCCACAGAATTCAAGAGTGGTTATACCATGTCAAAATAACATTATCAGTTTCTTCGCCAGCAGACTGCCAGCCACCACAACCTCCTCTATTTTTCCTTCCTTTGCAGCAAATCCCTGCTGTCAAAATGATAGTTGTGCTATGGTACTAATTTGGCATATATTAGTATTTTATACATTGGCTATTAGTTCCACTTATTTGCTCCTTCCTTCCGCTTCCTTTTTTTTTAAAAAGGTATTCATTAATTGTAAGTGTTCCACACAGACAGGTAAAGTACTTTCGTCCACCATAGCTAAAAGTTATTTCTAACTAAAAATAATCTTTTAATTAAATTATGTTGTAACTGGTTTACCCTTTTGCTTTAAATGTGCAGGTATCTGATTAGTTGCATTTTCTCTCTGCTTCCAACATGCGGAATTTCGTGCTACTTTATACAGTAACTTAGACTAGGCTGAAACACTTTTATTAATGAGCCCCTCAATTAGAGTAGAAATAGGCAAATGAAAACAAAATAGTATTCATAATTGTAGCTAATACCAATTAGATTTTTTTTAAGGTAAGATAGGTTTGCTTTTAAAATCTTCAGATGCTTCTAGAAGCATACTGTGATGTTTGAATATGGTATCAAAATGGTGAAATATGTTTTTATATTTATCCACAGTAGTATCAGAACAGAAAACCTTCAGAAAATGTCTAAATAGCCTTCACAGTATTTTCCAAAAAAATTGCAGAGAATTCTTCAATTATCTGTTTCAGACCAACTGTCCAACGTGGAAGGAAGTAGCACTACAATTCCTTGTGAATACAGCAATAACACTGCAAACACTGAAGGTTTTGTTGTTGTCTGGACGTTAAACAGAAACGCCGTGATTTCACTCCTGGCCTCCTTCAATGGTACATCTCACTCTTACCAGCCTCGAGTCCAGATTAACCAAAATGACTTTTCACTGATGCTGCGTGATCTTACTTCAAACGACAGTGGAGAATATGTGTGTAACATTTCAACACCTCACTACACAAAACTTACTGTGAGAACTTTGCAAGTTGGTAAGTTGCTGCTCTTTCAGTTTCAGAGGATGAAGACTAGTGAGGGGAATACAGAGCCAAAGGGTCAGTCAGAAATCTGTAAAATATTGAGAAAAATCATCTTGTGTAATTAGTACAGGTGGGTAGAAGAGATATTTTGTTATAGTTATCCCAGGAAGAAAATGTTACCTAAAATGTATTTATTTAAAGACTTGAGATTTCTTTTTTTCAGTCAGCAGGTTGTTCTGGCAAAGGTCTCAAAATCAGTGGCTGCCCTCGGAGCTGAGGGCACAGAGAAAGACTCAGAATCATGTCCTAAATGCTCCTCTAACAGCCAATACGGTCTTTAGAGGTAGCACGGAGATGAAGGGAATGTGGTATAAATTTGCCTGCAGAAGAAATTTTGTTGAGGAGAACACACAGTTGGTGTTTTCAAAGCTTTAATTCTACACAGCAGGGCTTTTTTAGACCTGGGGATATATATGTTTATATGCATGCCTGTGTTTTTATGAACTGTAGTAAATTTCCAGCTGTGTAGTCTTAGTTACAGTTATTTCATTGTCTCAGGTTTCAAGGAGACTTCGTGATTAACTTTTCTATCTATTGAAAACTCTTACGGAAGGTTAAAAACAATTACACCAGCTTTCTAAACTCTGTGCAAACAAATTACAGATTTGTTCAGAAATGGTATGCTGTTTGGGATGCAACCTCCTTAAATTTCAGTCCAAAGAGACGAGTTAAAAAACATCCAAACAGTAGCACATAAGTATATTATGCAATTAAATACCATCACCTAAAAGAACAAGAACTAATATAGGGCACCTCATTTGTTTTTTTTATTTAAGAAGGAAAAGAACTTGGAACAAGCCAGTAGGACATGAAAATCAGAGGCGAGACAGCAGAAAAGGGGCTAGAATAAGTGATAATAATTGCGTATTTTTGTCTTCCTTTCTCCCCCCCTCCCCTATGATAGCTTAGTTTCAGTCTGAAATCTTGATGTAGGGTGTGTTTTAAAGGTCAGTGGCTATATGCAACCTGAAGAAGGGGTGATAGATTAAAGAAAACAATTAAGGCAGACAAACATGCTTGCAGCTCAAATTCCAGCATGATCTTCCTTATCCTGTAAACCTGTAATATTGTGCTTCTGAAGTAGAGAGCTTTGGACCCCTCCAAGGAGTTACACATTTAATCTGGTGCCCCTAACTTACATGCATAAGTCCATCAGTCTCCACATACATTTACTGGAGTCAGACACATGCACCTGTCCAGTCCAAATGTGATCTGGGTCATCCTCTATAAGTGCCTTTCTCTAGCTGCTCTCTGCAGGTGGGTCTTAGAATAGACATAGGTGATATAAATCCCCTCTTTAGTGGCTAAATTCCTGTGCCGCTCACAGAATTTTCCTACTTGTGGACCAGAAATACATTATACAGAACAGAGAAGGCACCAGAGAGATTAGCGTCTTTGTGGCAGCACAGGCTGAAAGCAGATAAGCAGATAGAAACAGTAGGGCGTAAGGAAATGAGCTAGATCAGTATGTTGAGTGATGGTCACAGCACAGCAGCTGCTCAATCATCAGAAAGATTTCCAAGGGGCACTGAAAAGGACAGTTTTATGGGGAAAAGTGAGATGAATTTACAATCATTTTGGAGGCCATCTGTGTAAGGAAAGGTTGCGGCTTAAAGCTGCTCTACCAAAGGAACTGACAAGATGTGAACATAGGTCTGCATGTGGGGACAGAGCCAAGCTAAAGGCACTGACTAGATTAAATGCTCTAATTTGGCAGTTCTCATTTTTGAGCTGTTTGCTAGACATCCACAGGGAGTTTCCAGAGGACTGCAGAATTTTCAGATTCTTTAGACAAGATGCACCAGTGGAAAAAGAGCCTGAAGTAGAAGAACTGTACTTAAAGGAATGAGTCCTCCAGGTCTGAGTTCTCACATATTGTTGTAATTGGCTGGAGTAATGAGACGCTTGGTGCTGTGCAGGACCAGCCTCTGCTAGACGGGCTCTTATCTCCTGTGGAATCCATTGTTACCACCCACCTGAGGATCTGCTGCTTCTTGTGCCTGCCTGATTGCATGGTTGTGTCATGAAGATGGGAAATGTTCTAGATGAAGGTTGCAAAATTTTGCAACAGAAATAATGAAATCTGTGATCCAGGCTGGATAACGCTCACTGAGTTGTTCTACTGGAAATCAGCAGTACCGTTAGTGGTACCGAGCACCATACCTGGAAGCAGTGTTACCCTACTGGGCAGCTGAGTGTTTTTAAATTTAATTTGTATTAAGAAGTCATCAAATCACATTACACGAGAACACATGGAATTTTGTATAAGCACAGTTAAGTAAAATAATCTGCTTTCAGCTATTCACACGTAAGTCATTAAAGTAGCACTTTAAAGTCTTATAGTATGGGTCAAGTGCCTTGAACGTCGTTGTATTAGTAACATTAAAAAGAAACAGAGATGTTCTCCCCAAATCATTGCTTTTACATTATAAATAAGAGAAAAATCAAAGCTTCGATATACTTATTGAACAACAGTGAACATTGATTTGTGATATAAAGCACTTCTGTTAAACTTTTTTGAATTTGTATTTTTAAAGAATATTCAGGTAACACTGGGAAGATTGTGATAGGAGTGATTGTTGCACTGGTGCTGGTTACAGGAGGCTGTTTCTGGATCTGGTTCAAGGTGTGTACAGTCATTAGGGGATTTATTTTTAAAGGTACTGTTAAACTTAAATCCAGACCTTGAATGTTTGACCAAAATGTAAATTTGATTTTCATGGGTTAAAGCATACAAAAAAGATGGAAAATATAGGATTATAAGTTTCAGCACAAATAAATTGACCTAATTCTTGTTATTTTCTATGTCCAAAAGGTCCTCTTTGGTACATCTAGGGCCCCAGTTACTATTTCAATTATATCCAACATCAAAGCTCAACAAAACTTCAGAGTGAAAAGTTATACTAATTGCTTTGTTTAGGAGACTGTTATAACCATATGGTCCCTGATTTCATGTCTCCACACATCTGTCCTAATTACTAGAGTAATTGTCTTGTTTAGCCTGGAGAAGAGAAGGCTCCAAGGAGACCTAATAGGAGCCTTCCAGTACTTAAAGGGGGCCTACAGGAAAGAGGGGGAGGGACTCTGTATCAGAGTAGCAATATGACAAGGGATAATGGTTTTAAGCTGAAAGAGGGCAGATTTAGATTAGATATTAGGAAGAAATTTTTTCCTGTGAGGGTGGTGAGGCACTGGAACAGGTTGCCCAGAGAAGCTGTGGATGCCCCATCCCTGGAGGTGTTCAAGGCCGGGGTGGATGAGGCTTTGAGCAGCCTGGTCTAGTGGGAGGTGTCCCTGCCCGTGGCAGGGGGTTGGAACTCGATGATCTTTAAAGTCTTTTCCAACCCAAACCATTCTATTATTCATATTCCAGTTACTTCCTTTGGCTTATCTTCAGGTGGATGCATTTTATTCTTATGCATTTGCAATAGGCTGGCGCTGTCTTTAGAGTATTCTGTCTCCTTGCTTTGCATTTGTGGTGGGTTCCTTAAAAAAGGAACTTTAGCTCTTAGTCCTTAGGGTACATCTTTTTGTGTCTGACAGTACAGCCCTGACCATGGAGATAGACCTTTGAACTCTCTGGGCCTCTTAAGATTTTGTCACAGCCTGAATTTGGTAAGGTTCAGGAGACATTTTACAGTGGTTACCACGAAGTTTGACAAGAACACACCAGAAAGCCAGCTCTAAAATGGTTGAGTCTCAGTCTTTTTTCATTTTTCTGTCACTTAAGAGATTCACTTGCATGCTTCTTATTACTTGGTTTTAATGCTGCATCTCAAAAGCATGTTCATTTAAGCAAGATTAATTTATCTTGGGACCTGTTGAGACCGTTAGCATATCATAATCAGAGGAAGTGGAACTGTTGGCAGGTTAACTCAGCTCTGGTTACGTTGCTGGAGGATGAGATGGAAGAAACAGGAATGTTTCTGCACTGTTATGTGGATGTTTATTTTACTCAGCTAATGTTAAAATGGAAAATATTGACTAAATTTACACATCAGTAGTTCTTACAAGCATTTTTGTTTTGACTAGAAATGCAGAAGAGAGATCATATGAGCACCTTGACATACCGGCAGAAAATCCCTCTCTGAACACACCTTTGCTATTGAGATTGCTGCTGGAAGAACAAAGAGTTCCTTCACCTTCGCTATTGAGTTACAGAAAGAGCTGCACAGAATTGTGATTGTCTGAGCAACAGTAACAAGCAACTGAACTGACAAAAAAACCAAAAAACAGAAACAGACCCACACATAAGTCAATTGAAACTTGTATGTGAAAAGTTGACATGAAAAACTGGAACTTGGATATCCTAAAGGGACAATGAAAAAGTTTCCACAGAAGAAAAACCAGTTTTGAGGTATTTTTTTATTTTTGGTATGAGGGAAGGAGAGGGCTTACTGTTTGGCATTTCATTTAGTATTTTAATTTCAAGCAAAGACAACTTCCCTGTTTAAAAGTGGAAAAGATCTGAGAGAACAATCTTATTTCTGAGCCACAGGCAGTCCCAACAGGACAAGTTACTCCACAGCATCTCCTGCAGCTGGCGAACAAAAGTCCTTTGGCTGGTAGCAGTGGAAGCTTCTAAACTGACTGTTAATATGAAAAAGTTTACTTTGTGCTTTTCTACAAAACTCATACTGACTCTGACTGGCAGGACAGATGGAAGCTGGGTTATCCCAGCTTTAAGGGCTGTCCCCCTGGACAAGTTTAATCTGTGCTGCTTTAACAATCTGCACATGAAATACATGAAGCTGTGAAGCGTGACTGGATTTGCCTTTGGTTTTGATTTTGATTTTGTCAGAGATCTGCCAATTAGGATTTGTTCCAACATAATGAAGTGGGCTGTTGGCAAGATGTAATCTTTTATTGATCCCTGGGGCTTGGCAAAATAGAAACGCAAAGAAATGAATGGTATACGCTATACAGGCTCTTTGGATTTTCACTTGGTGTTTATTTATGTAAGTGCTTATTTTTTTCTACATCTGCTTTCAGTTGTGCCTGGTTACATCAAGCATCTTCTCATATCTGTCAGCTTGGACTGTATTTATTCCTCTTCATGAACCTGAAATGCAATTGAGATAGCATACGATGTTAAAAATTGAAGTGTGAAGGGGGTTTTAGATTAAGTTCACAAGTAAATGACAAAAGTTTCTCTTCACTAATGCTTCTGCTCCCTGGTGTTACCTGTTTGTATCTGAAGTAGACTAGTACCAGTCTAGTCAACCTTTGCAGTTTTACCTCAGCTAACACTACAAGTTTCTTGTCCTCCTGCTACGGTATATATATCCTTTTGATAGTAGATGACATCTGTACAACCCTGTTTCAGTACACGGTGGTGTTCACTCTGAATCACACACACTTCCTAGAGTTTCCAGGAACACAGGTACTAGTAGCAGTAGACAAGATATTTCTAGTGCTACACTGTCTTTACAGTGCCTTTCTCGTCCCAAAGGAGATGTGTCATAACTCTTGGGACAGCACTTGCTGCCTGAACATGTTTCCTGACAGCTTCTTGTGCCTATCGCTGCTACAAGTCCCTTTTGTGGAGACAGCACCTCTGTGTGTATAGTTGAGCTCCTTTTCTGACAGTGTAATACTCTGCTATAAACAACAGCAAATCCATCTGACTAATAAACACAGGCATCCACTTTTCTATTACTTTTGCATATTTGAAGCAAAAAGAGGGTACTGGTAAGATAAAGGGAATAAACGGCACTCTTAACACTATTTTAAAAAATAAATTACTCTCATGGTTTACCTATTTTATTGTCTGTGTGATGCTGCGGCTTTGTGAACTTATATATGACTTTTCATTTTTTTGTAGGTCTGTAATAATTTAAAGAAAAATACATGGAAATTTATTTACTCTTAAAAGCTGCAAAACTTCTTGTGAGCTTCAGTTGCAATAGTGCTTCCATTATATGTAAATAGGTGAGAGACTAGATCTTCATGCAGTTTTAATATAGTTCTGCTCTAGACAGTGGAGCTACAGTAATTTATATCAGTCAAGGGGACTTTATTAGTCCAGTATAAAAGCAGAAACTGGAGTGTTTCCTCCCACAGAATGGTGGATAGAAAAGAGAAAAGGAAGGTGATGGTATCAAGTGTGATAAAAATACCAAAATTGTGAAAGTGTTTTTTCCTCCTTTTTGACTCAGGAGCTGTCACCGCTGTAAAATTTATATGCCATTAAGCATGGCAGTTTGTGTTACACTTGCAAATGAATTAGATAAAGCAATGACCCAGCTCCTCTTTCTGTCATTCCTATAAGTAACAACCCCCACTCTTACTTGCCCTGGTTGCCACAAGGCAAGCATAGATAAGTAAAGGTTTGCTTTCAGTTCCAGAGCACGTTCTTAAGCACCTTTTAGTTTAATCAACATTACTCTACTACCATTCTGCTCAAGTGCAAAATATCACAAATACATTTCTAATTGCTAATGACTTCCCAACACCCAAGTGACTAGTCACTAATTTTCCATCCAGCTCTTCAAATTAATACAAGTTCATTGAAAGAGCTGGATGTTAGAATATCTGGCAATCTGCTAGTGCAGTAGTCCCCAGGCTGTATTACATACATAGAAATTCTACATCATCAGAGGAAGAAAAAGATAGAGCTTTTTAATAATGCTTGCCAAAAAAAAAAAAAAAAACCAACAACAAAAAAACCAAAACCAAAACCCCAAATCACCAGTTCTGGAAACTTCTGGCTGCTGAGCACAGAGGTTCTACAACAACATCGAGAAGACAGAGAATTCATTTTGCCTAAGCATCAGATTGCTGTCCTAAAGGCTTAATAAAGGGTAGACTGAAACTAAATAAATGCAGTAAGCAACAATTTCTTTTAGT